TGAAGTCTACAATTTGAACTGTCAGATCAAGTGAACCCTGACGAAATGATGATGCAAAGACTTCACTATCATTATCACCAAAGCTCATTGGCCTAATCAAATTATGGGAATTCAACTCTAGGCCTATTAATGTGAGGTGGGTGTTGTTGTATTTCATTAGGGGGTATTCAGGTTCATATTCTCAACAACATCAAGAATATTGTTCCTTCTACCTGCAGCATTATCGTTCTCCCCAGGTTCCCAGTTGCAAGGATTAGGTACATTATCTCTCCCTCGGACTGAAGAGGTTCCGAGATTAGTCTCAAACATAGGTGGAGCAGGACGAATGATTCAATCTTAGCAGATTCATCAACTTATTTCTCATATCATCTATGGCAGTGGTGACATGTTCATAGAGGTCCTGCATTTCTTGCCTCGCAGCATCCATTTGGCCTTCGATCTGCACTAATCTATCTTCCATCCGTTACGATCGATGCCAAGATGACACAGTACATTAGCAATGACATAATAATGGATTTGATTGAGTAATCAAGTTGTTGGAAAATGAAAACACCAACACTAACGTCGGTTTTGGCTCACGTATATCAAGTCGTTGGCAATGTCATCAGCTTTACCGGCAACCCCAATGTATCACAAATTGTTTAGCCGGTCTCCTATTCGTTCGTAGGTGGGGGATCTGTTCATCGTCAGTCATCATCCATACTACCACATCTCCTTGCAGTTGACGTGGCCACACAGGAGAAAAAGACCAAGGAAATAAAAAAAAAAATAGCGATGGTGTGAAAGAATACTCAATTGTAAAATTCACATAAAATGCAATAAGGAGTCAACAATGTAATGTTAGAAAGAGAAGTAAGGATGGGTTGTCAGGACATCACGTGACTACAATAACAATCAACAATCCTTTTTCACCTCACAAGTCGGACTTTGAACGGCCGACGCACCGTCAAGGGCAAATGAGGAATTTCATGCTGCAAACACCAACCAGTAATCAACATAGTACAAAAAAAAGTCGCCGGAAAAAGTCGTGGGCAATTGGGTTATTTAGGCACCTTGGGCCATTTTCTGGGAAGCGAGGCACACTTGACTAAAATTGGATTGAATTTATAAAGATCTGTCTCGCCACCACAGGCATTATTTAGTCCGAGAAAAGTCCCGGCATTAAGCCCTACAAAGTAGGCAATTCCTGTGCCACACCAATGAGGACAAAGTGTCCGCCATTACGACCACAATGTCGAAAAACTTTATAGTTGCTGGTTCCTTACCGATGAGGATAAAGTACCCGCCATTACGACCGCAATGTCGAGAAACTTTACAGTTTCCGGTTCCATACCGTTGAGAACAAAGTGTCATTACAACCAAAATATCAAAAAACTTTTCAGTCTCCGGAACTACGAGGACAAGTGCCCGCCATTACGACCGAAAAGTCGGGAAAAACTACAGTTTCTAAACCTACGAGGAAGAATTACCCTAGGCTCCTTTGCTTTGTAAATTGTAACACGATCATGTATAAGGATTAGTCGTGTGTTAATTCTAGTTAGATCGGCATTGCCACCACTGGCGCTGTAAGTCCAGTTTAGTGGACATTGCCACCACCGGCCCTGTAAGCCCCTAGTCCAAGTGAATATATATCTGTCTTAGTCCCTAGTCTTCTAGATTGCTGATATTTAGGGACTATGTAACAAAATGTCCTAGCGACCGAAGTCATTTGATAGTGTGTGACACTATCAGCTATAGATTATGGGACTAACCGTGCCAAGCCAACATCATTGATTTTGCAGACAAAGTGGCGGTCTAAAAGGATGTTGGCTGGCTTAAGTTCTTGGTGCACAAGAGGTTCTGGCTTTGATTGGTGAAGGAACAAAAGACCTATAGCAATATCCGCTGCAATCTTTACCCGAATTCCACATGGAATTGGAGGCGTATTTCCTTTACGAAACAAACGATCTTCCAAGAGACCATAATTCATGTATTCATATACCAAAGATCCATACTCATGACATGCACCCAAGAGGTGGACCATATTCGGATGTCTAATGATACTGAGGATCTCAACCTGAGGGCGATCAAGAATTTTGTTGATAAGAAAAGTGCCCAAAAGAGCCCATACTAAAGACTATTTCTAGGACAAGTAATTTTTAAAATCTGATTAAGAAGTAATTACGTACCTCTTGTTGAAATTGTTTCCCTCCTTGAGCAGCATTAGGTCTTAGAACTTTAATGGCAACAGGGGTATGATCATGTTTTCCGTTGAAAACAGGTCCATATCCACCTTCACCAATTTTCTTTGCTTGTGAAAATTTATCAGTCGCAGCCTCAATCTCTTCTATGGCATATTTTCTATAGCGGGAATCATGAGACAAAGCATTTAATGCTTGATTTTTTTCTTGTGCGTCATTATTAAACGTCATCTCTTCAAAATTTACTCTTTGTGCTTCCATCTCAGCTAACTTTTGAGCTTTCTCAGCTGCTTCAATGTCAGCTTTGCATTTAGCCTTCTCCATCTCCACCATCGCAAGAGCAGCCTCTTTAGAAAGTTTAACTTTCTCAAAACTGTGAGCCTCTTCCATTTTCCACTGTTGAAGCTGTTTAGCCTGAAAACAATAAAAATTGGAATTTATAAAATTGTTATTTAAAAATGTTGGGATGTGTAATCTTTTGAAAAACTACTCTTCTGCCAATTATCCAATTGACTTCCTCCTAATCAGCAGAACAATGAGCACCTATTCCAAATATAAGAAAAAATGAATAATAGTAGAAACTGAGAAGTTAGCATGCTTAGAAACCAGAAGAACATGTTGGTCATTAGGTTCTTTTTCACTCATTAAATTAGATTTCTAGGGGATGTTGAAGCTTTATCATCTTTAGCACCTAATTTTTCTTTTTCTTTCTAACTGAGATAGAAAACCTTTTGCTTGGCTGAGACAGCTTCTTTACAAGCTCTGTTGTACATGTCCATGGTTTGTTTTAGCTCTAGCTTTAGTCTGTTCATCTCAGCATCAAAATCTTTCTACAATAGCACAATATCATCATATTATTAAAGTTTATTAACGAAAAGTATTCTTTCTAAGAAAATACAAATGTAGAATAGTGAGGATTGCCCACTAAAATATGACTATGGTTTAAATCTACAACCTGGTTTAAATCTATAGCTTTGCATTTAGCCTTCTCCATCTCCACCATTGCAAGAGCAGCCTCTTCAGAAAGTTTAACTTGCTCAATAGTGCTAACCTCTTCCATTTTCCACTGTTTAAGTTGTTTAGCCTGAAAACAATTAAAATTGGAAATTATAAAATTGTTATTTAAAAATGTTCGGATGTGTAATCTTTTGAAAAACTACTCTTCTGTTAATTGTCCAATTGACTTCCTCCTAATCACAAAATCAATGAGCACCTATTCCACATTTAAAAAAAAAAAAATGAATAATTGTAGAAACTGAGAAGCTAGCATGCTTAGAAACCAGAAGTACAGGTTGTTCATTAGGTTCTTTTTCACTCGTTAAATTAGATTTCTAGGGGATGTTGCAGTCCTATATACTTCTCTTAGAAGCTTTATCATCTTTAACACCTAATTTTTCTTTTTCTTTCTAACTGAGATAGAATACCATTTGCTTGGCTGAGACAGCTTCTTTGCAAGCTGTGTTGTACATGTCCATGGTTTGTTTTAGCTCTAACTTTAGTCTTTTCATCTCAGCTTCCAAATCTTTCTGCAATAGCACAATTTCATCATATTATTAAAGTTTATTAACTGAAAGTATTCTTTCTAAGAAAAGGCAATTGCAAAATAGTCAGGATTGCCCACTAAAATATGACTGTGTGGTTTAAATCTACCACCTGGTAATTTTGCACTTACAGAAGCCGAGTTTCCATCATTTGAACCATCTGATACTCTTGTGAAGTCTATATTTTGAACTGTCAGATCAAGTGAACCCTGACGAAATGATGCAAGGACTTCACTTTCATTATCACTGAGGGAATTGCGAGTGGATGAATTCTTTGCCCGTCTTATAGGAGCATCAAAACTGTCTGTCCCCAAGCCTTTTTTAGGTCTCGTGTTTTGTTCCCCCCTCATATGTGATGAGTGCCTGTTTTAACAATCATTGGAGTCAATATCACTTAATATAACATGATAAACTACTTGTTGCAGAGTTTCACATTAAGAATCTTCAATCCTGTACTGGCCAAGTTTTCATATGCTCTCTACTTATTTTTTACCTGACATCCTCCAGTTCAGCACTTGTGTTCCTAAAAGGCGGTCTTGTGTGAGGGGGTGTAAACTGTGCTTGAGATGGAGCACATGCCAGAGGTCTCGCTGCAGGCCGGAAAGATTGTTGCTTGCCTTTTGAAATTACATACACAGAGCAAAAATCCGGGGCAGTCTTGTTTATGATGGTTGGCACATCATGAGTCCAAAATTTCCTGCAAAAGTATCACCCCACTGTCAATTCTCCAGATGCATGCAGCATGTACAGGTGCCTGAGAAAACTGCAAAGAGAATAACCTGGCAATAGCGCTCCTTGTTGACGCACCAAGAACAATGTTGGAAATGCGGTACTTGTTTATGTACTCCACAAGTGCCTTGGACACATCACTATCCTCAACAATAACCTCTTTCACTATCAACTGCAATATATAGCCTCAAATACATTGAATGTTTATATGAGAAATTTATATTAGCCAAAATTTCATAATCAGAAGGATCAAATTCAAGATTGTTAATGTGCCATGCTGTTGGGCGGAGGCCAGTAAAGGTACACCCGGTAGTTGGGAGATTGTTGGGCAGAGGCCGGTAAAAGCCAAGTCCAGCATCCAACAGGTGTCTATAAGGAAATAAAATTGCGCCTTCGCTATCAGAGTATCAGTTATAGCTTTTGGCGTAATGGAAAGCGTTTTATCCTAACACATGCATATGCACTAGGATTCCTTTCCAATGGATAACTAACTATGATAACATAAATATAATGAGGAAACATCAACTTTAATTAAGATGTGTCCTATCAAATCTTATCATGTCAAGTAAATTTTTACCAAATTTATTTTGTATTGCATTGGTATTCCCTTCCAATGGATAACTATGACACCATAAGAGAAGGAAAATACAATTTGGACAAAATTTGATCAAATCTTTCCTAATATGACATAATTTAGTTGCAAAGGTCTAGCCTTTAGGGTTAATGTTCAGTTGAGTTACCATGTTACATGATTTACATCCTCCCAGATGCTCTATCGGGCCAGAGTGTGGGAGCTTAGGATTGGGGTTCAACCTTTTGGAAGAACTTTTTAAAAGCATATTATATCAAGTTTATGTTTACTCTGAAGTCTAAATCCTGGGTGGTATTCCAATGAGAACCTTCTCCCGTGAGAACCTGCTTAGTTGTACATAAGTGCACACAAGCATCTACATAAATGGACACAATCTCATATTCCAGTACACAATACACACAATCTACCCTGAAATAGTTTTGTTTGCAGGTTCTCATGCGATGAGGATTCTCATTCTGATCATTAATATATATATATATATATATATATATATATATATATATATATATATATATATATATATATAAGAGTTGTAAAAATCGGTCTAGGCGCCTCTAGACCGTGGCGATTTCCCCCCCTAAGCGTCCGCCTAGGTTACCGGCCGCCTAGGTGTCCGCCTAGCGCCTAACTCCGCCGATTTGGCCACCTAACTCGTCCATTTCGGTCGAGTTAACCCGATCGGCTTGACCTATTTTTTTATTTTATATATATATATATATATATATATATATATATATATATATATATATATGTGTGTGTGTGTGTGTGTGTGTGTGTGTGTGTGTGTGTGTGTGTGTGTGTGTGTGTGTGTGTGTGTGTGCACGCGCGCGCGCGCACGCGCATATATATATATATATATATATACTCGTAGACTAGTTTGATACTTTGAATCTTTGGATGATTGAAGTATTTGAGTATTTCATATTTGAGTATTTTTAATTTTTAATATTGTTTTAATGTTTTTTTTTTTGAAAACCATTGTTTTGATGTTATGACTTACGAATTATCATTAATTCATTTATTTGGATGTGTTATTTGATTAAATGTTGAAAACAACCTCATTAAAATTGTCAAACTGCAAGTCTACCACTGTTTTTTTGGCGTCCGCCTAGATTCCGCCTAGGCGCCGCCTAAACCGCCTAGGCGCTAGGCGCTGTCCGACTAGCGCCTAGCGCCTACTGCAACCATGATATATATATATATATATATATATATATATATATATATATATATATATATATATATATATATATATATATATATATATATATATATAAAAGAATTGCAAATTTGTCACTCTTTAACATATACCCCTTTACGTGCAGAGTATGCGCGGAAGGGTGTAAAAACGGATTGGGAATCCTGATCGCTTGCTCCACCATTTGCATCTGGAGAAGAATTATCTGCTCGAATACCAAGGTTTCAATCCATTAAACAATATTGATGCAAAAATGCCATAAAAGTTGACAATTTATGTGTCCCAAATTTGTTGAAAACTAATTTAATGGTGACAGAATTCCCCAATTTCCTTCGAGAATCATTTAATCTGAGGATCCAATTAACCAAAAAAAAAAAAAAAAAAAGAAACGATGTGAAAATTAAAGAAGAATTGAAAGAGGATACCTACGGTGTGCTGAGCTTTTGGTCCGGACGTGGACCAGGATGAGAGTGATATTGTTGTTGACGAGGAGACAATCGACCGCCCATTTCACGGCGGAGGCGCTGTGCTTGTCTTTGTCGACCGCGACGACGGTGAGAATGCCGCCGCCAACGGCGGCGTCGGGGGGAAGTTGGGGAGCCATTATATTATGGCGTGATGATCATAAAATTAATCGAATAAGCAACGGGGGCAGGGTTAATTAAGTAATTGGACAGCGCGCCACCACTCACCAGCCGATGAGGACTAGCTCCACCGCTTCCACTGGCTCTTTTAGGGATTAAAAAACAAGGAGAGAGCGCGACACAACCGTTCCTCTCCTCAGCTCTTTAACTGAAAAAACTGACAAATGAATATTACATTTATTTATTTCTTTTTTTTTAACTAGTATTTTCGCCAGTGCGATGCACGGAATGGATTTGTTGTAATATATTAAGAATATTTGGATCGATATATAATTATTGAAATTAGAACATTAAATATTATATAGCGCAATTGAAGATATAGTTTGGACCGTTTATATGTGATGATGTTATCATTGCTCGATGAGCAAATAATTGCTCAAATCAATAGCTAATGTGTAGATGTACGCATGCGGTGCTGTAAATTTGAAGATTTTATTTATCATTGTTTAGTATTTTTATAAATTAGGCAAACGTGCTCGTTCTTTAGCAACTCAATTATAAGAATGAATTGCTATACTAGCTAATTCATTTGTATAGAAAATATATTTTTTTTTTTGTCTAGATATATAGCAATTTTGCAATTTAAAAAAAAAAAAAAAAACATAATATCATCGATTGTATTTACACAATATTGAAACCTCATTGTAGACGACATTGGTAGTAGCAACAGAATATTGTCCATATTCGTCTATAGCTAACATCTTCAGTCCATTAAGATGGGTACTGACTCGGGTGAAAAATATATAATCGTAGAATATCAGTCAATTAGTGATCATTTTATATTTTTAGTCAATTAGTAATATCACATTTATTTTCAGCCAATTATTCTTTTTTATTTTCAGTCAATTAGAATATCAAATGCAGTTATATTTCCGTTCTATTTTTAATTTTCGCTCCATTTTTAATTTACCTTTACTGTTGTTTAAAATAGAGTAAATATCCAAAATGGTCCCTCGACTATAGCTAAATTCACAAATTGGTCCTTGACTTTCAATTTTAACCAATTAAGTCTTTAACTTTGCAATTTCAACACGATTTGGTCCTCCGTTTGTTGACTGTGATTTTTGAGGATATATATGTAATTTCATGGTCCATCGTCGACTTTTTAAGGTTCCGGTTGCATTTTCATACCGCACTGTTACATTTGAATCCATCGCCGAAAGCAATCTGCCAAATCTTGTCGCCTTTCTTCATCCTTCATTTGAATTCAATGTAGTTGAGTTCGTACCAGAGTGAAGAAGACAACGTCTTTCCGAACCGGTACAGCGTCATCCTGGAGGCCTCCACGTGCTCCGGTGAGAGCTGCGGGTTCTTCTGGAGATCGTCGATGACGGCGCGGGCGCCGACGTTAATGTAGAAGTGTTCGAAGGACCAAATCGTGTTAAAATTGTAAAGTTAAGGACTTAATTGGTTAAAATTGAGAGTCAAGGACCAATTTGTGAATTTTGCTATAGTTGAGGGACCATTTTGGGTATTTACTCTTTAAAATATGTCTTTACTATTGATGATGTACAATATTATTATTGAAATATTTTCTTTCCATTTTTAATTTACCTTTACTTGAGATGATGTAGAATATTATTATTGAAATATTTTCGTTCTATTTTTAATTTCCGTTCCATGGTTTAAAATTGTGAAATATTTATGACATAATTGTGGTTTTGATTTATTTTACTGTGTAATATTATTGTGAACAATTTAAAAGCAATGATCTGACCATTTCATTTTCCATTTTAGTCAATTATGGTTTTTTATTTTTATTTTCAGTCAATTATTAATATGTTTTTAGAGTTTTTGTTGATGCTACTGTTCATGATGAGGGTGGTCAGGCTTTCTATGGTTGTGTTGTTTTTGATAACAATGGAAATTACGTGGGAGCTAAAAATGGCAGCATACGTTGCTTAAATGATGTCCACTTCGCAGAGGCAGTGGCGGTTAAAGAGGCTTTGTCATGGGTTAAAGAACTAGGCTACATGAAAGTTGCGATTCTTTCGGATTGTCTGATGGTTTGTACACTCCTGAATAGCTCTGGAACTGATTTGTCATATGCAGGTTGTGCTATTGATGCATGTAAGGAGTTTCGTAGACACTTTGAAGTAGTGTCCTTTAATTATATTTCTAGATCAGTTAATAAGTGTGCTCACGCTATAGCACGAGCAGCTTATTCCCAATCTGGTCCGTCTGTTTGGATTTCATCTTTACCAGCTTGTATTCAACATTTAATTTAATAAAGTTCTTTCTTCCTTCAAAAAAAAAATATTTATTTCCTTTTCCAATTAACCTAATTTCCATTCTTTTTTCAATTTTTAATTTTCAATCAAGTATTAATATTTATTTTCTTTTCCAATTTACCTCATTTCCGTTTCATTTTTATTTGATGATGTATAATAATATTATTGTGAAATATTTATGTTCCTTTTTTTTTTAATTTTCGTTCTTTTTTTTTTTAATTTACCTTTTTACAGAGAGTCAATAGTGCCTTCATTAGGCTCAACCCCACAATCTCTCATGTAGGAGTTCAACTTGGTGCCATTGAACCACAAGGTCCTTCGCAATTATATTGCATAATATAATTGTCCCACTAATTGATTCCACGCTACTATAATTCGTACATTTAAAGATTTTTTTAATCAAAACAGAACTTTTATTTAAGGAAAATAGCCCGGTGAGTCACAAAACCCCGAAGGTCATACAAGATAGCCAGTTTTACATTTACAGGCAAAGAGCTAATGGAGCAAAAAATATAGGCTGAGCGAGTGTTAAGACCGGCTGTCGCAAGAGCATCAACAACCTGGTTTGCTCCCTATAAACATGCCGAATCGAGGAGCCCCACGATGAGAGGCAAGCACGAGGGAAGAGGATGGCGTCCTTAAACTTCCATGGAATTTTTGCCGTTGTAGAGGAAGCCAGATGGACAAGAGCAAGAGAATCCACTTCCACGAGAGCAGGAAACATCACCATAGTGTCACACCATTGAAGAGCAAAATGTAAAACCAAAGCTTCAACTTCAAGGACTGAAGAAGCCGATATATTAAAACAGAGTCCAGCTACCATGTGACCACAATAGTCTCTCACACATGTCCCGCCTACCACACCGCTGGATGAAAAGAGGGCATTCGTATTGAGCTTCAACCTCCCAGATGGTGGCGCAAGCCATTTAACCCAAACAGAAGCACCATGACTGCGAAAAGAGCGAGTGAGGAAGATTAGCACCGATTCCTGTTTTATTCGCTGGATTAGCCCCGACGGCGAGAAAGAAGATCCCTCATAAATGCTTTCATTGTATGCTAGCCATAAAAACCAAAGCAGAAGACACGACATTAGTCGCGCAATGTCGACTACCAAAGTGTGTGAAGAGAGCAACCACCAAGAATGACACGTTGTACGAACAGAGTTGGAATTCTGCAAAGATAAACCAAAAATTCTTCCAAAATAGAACCAAATCCCCCGAGCTCTGCTACAAAGCAAGAGGCAATGCTCAAGGCTCGCGTTCGCATTAACGCAAAACGGGCAAACTGAAGGCAGGCAGACACCAAAATTCTCAACAACATCCGGGAACAGAAGCAACCTCCTTAAAAGCTTCCACATAAACACCGACACCTTTGAAGGTATTCTACCCGCCCATATGCTTTCAGATGATAAGGTGGTGCCCGCCCTTGATCTGAGAGCATCATAAGCCGAAGAGAATGTGAAATTACCATATGTGGAAAGCTTCCAAATAAGGCCAGCCACCTGAAACATAGATGGCATTTTCCTCTACGAAATCCCTCACCTGCAGCCAATGTTGAAAAAATCGCTAGGCACCCTCTAGGCGCTTGGGGACCGCCTAGAGCGCCTAGGCGGGTGCCTAGAACGCCTAGACGGGGGCCTAGAGCGCCTAGGCCGCCTAGCGCCTAGGCGTCGATTAATCGGCGCCTAGGCACGATTTTTGCAACAGTGCCTGCAGCATACGTCTCCAAGTGAGCGAACTCATGGTGAAATATGTAACACCTCACTTTTCTTAAACTTAATTACAGTTCTAAAACCAAAATCAAGATAACTAAGCAGCGGATAAACAAAATTAAATAACAAACTAGTGGGAATGTCACCGCCACAACCACCTTTCCACGATGATTGCACAGGCTAAGGATAGAACTGAATCATTAAGTCAAACTATCATTGAAATTACTTAATTAAAGTCACTTGGGGGAAAACACCCCGGTGTCTATCACCAAACATAAACAACATAAGTCTACAATCCATCATCATGACATCATAAAAAAAATAAACAGAGTTTAGACTATTAGATATACTAAACTAGTCTAACTCGAACAACTCTCAAACGCTGGCCCACCTGAAATGGATTTTGCAAATAGACAAATAAAAAACACCAGTTAGCACGAAGCTAAGTATAACCACATTCCACCCTGTAAAGTACTACAGTATATACTTTGGAAAAACATTTGCTCACATTCTCAAGTTAAGCAATCTCAAACAACTAGATAAACTTTAAGATAAACAACAAGCTTTCTATATGCTCACAACCTATAATATCAACAGGCATGCTTCAACGATAAATAACTTATCAACATAATCACTCTAACACATATTCAACATAGCAAAACTCATCATAACGATCTCATGCTATCAAGCAATTGCGTACAATCGATCAATAAGAACTTATTCTCATGCTTTCAAGTTCTCATCATGCAAACTGGATATATAGGACATTAATATGCAACTAAGGCAATCATACTCAATATACAATCTCGGTTAATCATTCTCATTATGCAATCTAGTGTGCAACATTCTCATTATGCAATCTCGTGCACCATTATCATTATGCAATCTCGTGCAACATTCTCATTATGCAATCTCGTGCAATACTATACTCGAATGCAATACGATGCTATAGGGTAAGTATACTTTTACACTTTTTTGTAAATAGAATACTTTTCTGTGGGGGTTTCTTAGAGTCATAATGACTCGCTTTCTTTCTCTTAAGTCTCTTGACTCGATTTCTTTCTTGTTCAAACTTTCTCATACTTCTCGTTTCTCTTCTTGTGCGAGGCAGGTACTCCACCGCAGCGAAGCCCTAGCGTATGGTGCAATCTCGTGCATCCGCCACATCCGTAACTACGGAACCTCTAACTCGTGGGGAGGTAGGTCTTCACGAATCGTGAATGGACCTAACAGGCTCGGCAATCTAACCGGCCACATACTCAACTCGCCCACTGAACCACTCTCTTGGTTCTATGCTCAAACTCTGTGGAATCAGGTATCGTACTTTTAGTGTGCACACCCCCTAACCAGGATTCCAAGCCTGGCGGGCAGTCTCCAACCTCATAACGTGGGAATACACCGCGTTACATGATAAATCTGTCAGATCGCAATGTCCGTTATTTTCTCTTTTACTCCGAAAGGACATAGTCCCAACGGGTCCTCCAAAACCTCACTTACATAGATAGTATATATATCCCAGGCAACTCGACTACTTATGCAAACTTATGCGTGTCACTTCTTAACAAATTCTCAATGCACACAAGATAAAGACTTTCCATATGCTCATGAGTTTTGAAAAATAATACTTAGCCTCATGTTGGCCACTTATGCACTTTTAAAACATGATATGTTTGGGATGCAATTTACTGTACAACATACTTCTATTCTATAAATTTCTGTGAACTCTCAAAGGACACATAATCATGCTTGAAATTCATAATCTGACAAATACTAGCAAATAATTCTCATGCATTTGGAACTGAATTTGCCCAATTTAATATCATTCTCTGGATAATAACATTCAAGACTAACATGTTCTGTACACTTCAAATACTTGGAATTTGACAAATAATCTCTATGAATCATGACATATTCAATTAATGATCATGCTTCTCAATCTAACAAGACTTATTCAATTAATGATCATGCTTCTCAATTTAATAATCACATAGAATCAAGCAGCTCACATAGGCAAAACTAAGTCTGATACTTCTCATTTTCAAACACTGGAACATTACTGTGACACATTAGCTTCACAAATCCAATCATAAAACGCTCATTTCTAATACAAATCCAACGAAATCAAAGTCCAAACGTGCGTCATGACGGCCCCAAGGTACCGAGCCACATGAGCCCGAGACACCCGGTCCAAAACGACATGTAGCTGAGCCACAAGGGCCCGGCCACTGCACAGGACAACATCAACGGGGTTTGCGGCGGGGCTAGAGGAGGCCCGCCGCCTGGGACCGCCGGGCGGCGGCCTAGGGCCACGGCTCTAGCCTGGAGCCGTACCCTAGGGCCGCCCCTCCACGGGGCTTGCCAACGGTCCCTGCCTAGGGCCGTTGGCTAGTCTTGTGTCTCATCTAGTGCACACTGTTTTGTGCACCAGTGAGTTTCTCCTTCACCTGTAAGACAATATCAGGCAACCAAACACTCCCAAATCATCAACAACACATCATAGACAAGTAATAGCTCAAACATTTCAAAAATCTAGCATTTCTACTCACTTCTACCTATAAAACAATGGCTTCACAGAGCCAAAACTTAAGATGGGAGTCCATGGGGTTATACGTTTGAAGCTTTCTTCTTCTTTCTTGGATTCCACCTTCTTCCCAAGCTAGATTCCCCCTTCTTCACCCCCTAAACATCCCAAACAACCACACAACAACTCACTACCAAGGTCTTAGAGAAAGAATGAAGGCTTAAGAGGAAAATGAATGGATGAGAAGAGAAGATAGAAATCATACTGTGTTTTCTTCATGTTTTGCAGCTAAAGGTTGGGAAGCCAAGAGTGGAATCAAAGAGGCAAAGTCTGATAATGGCTCATTATATAGAGGCACAAAACCCTAGGATGATCCCTCATGATTGGAGGAGGGCAAAAGGGTAAAAGCTTGGCTAGAAAAATGTCATCAAGACAAAGGCAAAGGCTTGGAGTCCACCAAGCATCATGGACCAAGGTCTAGAAATGAGATTTTTAAATAGTTTGGGGTCAAAATACATTTTTCCAAAAATACTTTGTAGACAACCACTTTGTTTAGGTTTCTCAGATTTCTTCCGGTTTCACTCAGATTAATTTTTGGATAAAAAAACTAGGTACGCATTGTACCCGAGGATTTAGGATTTTAGATTTAAAAATACGTCCCGGTGTAGAATTTACTTAAAAGTGGTTCAAAATAATTTATTCAAATACCGATTTCATCGCAAAAAATTTTTACGAAGTGAAAAAAAAAATGACTATTTAAGAATTTCTTAAAATCGAATCTATAAAATTAAATTTTGGGTTGTCACAGAATATCTCTCCGGATAACGAGCCTGCATAAAAGTGCTCCACAAGGAACCTCCCTTCAAGAAGTTGAAATATAGCTTGGCTGAACAAGCTTTTTGAACCGCCGACATTTAAAGATTTTTTAAAATTAAATACATATTAATTACCTTAATAATTAAGTTAATTCTTAGTCACATCAATAGTACTAAAAGTATTACTTTGAATTCTTATAAATAGGATATAATATTATTAAATCAAAATAATATGAAAAATTGTATGTTAATTAATTAACATACAATTTTTATTGTCTAATACAAATTGTCAATTATTAAATATTATTTATGGTAATTATTGTATGCTATATAATACTAAAATTATTAGGTATAATTTTTATAATTAAGGTATAATACTAATTATTAGGTACCAAGAGGCCCGCATGAGTAGCTCAACTGGTCATAGAGGTGAAACTTTGGAAGAATGACCAGGGATCAAGTCTCACTAGCTCCAGTGTGGGAGCAACCTCTCAAAGTGAGGGGGGCTTCTTGTGCGCAGTGAGCACCGGTCTAGCCTCTATTGAATAAATTATGTTCAATAGAGCACCTCTTTGGTTTATGTTGGTTTATGTTCAGTTGAGTCACCATGATTTACATCCTCCCAAATGCTCTGTCGGGTTGGGGTTCTTCCTTTTGGAAGAATAATTAAGGTATAATATTGATACAGGTAGATGTCATGTATAAAAATTGATTTTCTATATACGATAATCATGGATTTGAATAGAGCTGCCCAATGTTGACCGCGAATGAGGTACTGTAAATCTGTAAGCACTTCTGGTACGCAACATCCGATCCAAGCTTTTATTAAGACATTGTTTCACTCTGAGGTTTCGAATTGATATGTTAATGATATATTAGAATCCTATTACGTAATGTTTAATGATATATTAAAATCCTATTACACAAGAATGTTAATGATATATTAGAATCCTATTACGTAATGTTTAATGATATATTAAAATCCTATTACACAAGAAATCTCTATTAGAGAGATAGAGTTAATACCTCCAATGGTCCTTCGAGTATTAGCCATATACCAGTTGTGGTCATTCGACTTTTAAACGACCACAAGACGTCCTCCAAGTTTTAAAAAGTTACCACCGGAGGTCCTCCGTTATATTTTCTGTCAAATAGGCGTTAAGTTGGAGGGCAAACTTGTCATTTCCTATTTCAAAATTTTTTTTATGGAAAAAAAAAAAAAAAGAAGAAGAAAGAAAACTTAAAATGGAGATTGGCGATCACCTCCCTGAGGTGAGGAGGTCCAATAATTTCTGCAGGGGCACACTACTACTCCAAATGCTCCGGTGGAGGACAGAGACAAAGACCTCTTGTCGCGCATGACTCTAAACGAGAAAATCGGCCAAATGATTCAGATCGATCGCACCGTCGCTACTCTCTCCGCCATAACTGATTATTTCCTTGGTAACTTCCTTTATCTAGCTTGTGAGATT